ATAAGCATTTGCAACTGCTCATGCCAAATATACATCTTGGCACGTCCGTTTCAGGGAGACAAAAGGATGATTAGGCTTCACTGCATCGCGAAAGCACTGCGGTAAAGCCAGCGTGAGCCGAAGAGCATTAACATGATACGAAATGAATGCATATACAGGCCTACTTTGTGCACCTGAAACAGATATAGCATTTGCGATCTGCTACAGGCCAAATATGCATCTTGGCACGTCCCGTTTCAGGGAGACAAAAGACATTATTACAAATATGATTAGAGCCTCACTGCATCGCGAAAGCATGCGGGTAAAGCCAGCGTGAGCAGGAAGAGCATTACGTGATACGGAAATGAATGCATATACAGGCCACTTGGGCATCAACAAAGATAAGGCATTTGCTGACTTCTCACGGCCAATATGCATCTTAGGCACGTCCTGTTTCAGGGAAGGACGAAAAGGACAGTACAATTAGCCAAACGATGATTAATCCTTACACTGCATCGCGAAAGCACTGCGGTAAAGCCAGCGTGAGCAGAAGAGCATTACATGATACGAAATGAACGCATGCACGGGCCACTTGTGCATCAAACAAATATAAGCATTTGTGACTAATCATGCCAAATATACATCTTGGCACGTCCGTTTCAGGGAGACAAAAGGACGATTAAGCTTCACTGCATCGCGAAAGCACTGCGATAAAGCCAGCGTTAGCAGAAGATTGATTGATTGATTTGTGGGGTTTAACGTCCCAAAACCACCATATGATTATGAGAGACGCCGTAGTGGAGGGCTCCGGAAATTTCGACCACCTGGGGTTCTTAAACGTGCGCCCGAATCTGAGCACACGGGCCTACAACATTTCCGCCTCCATCGGAAATGCAGCCGCCGCAGCCGGGAATCGAACCCGCGACCTGCGGGTCAGCAGCCGAGTACCTTAGCCACTAGACCACCGCGGCGGGGCGTTAGCAGAAGAGGATTACATGATACGAAATGAATGCATATACAGGCCACTTGGGCATCAAACAAATATAAGCATTTGCGACTGCTCAGGCCGAATATGCATCTTGGCACGTCCGTTTCAGGGAGACAAAAGGATGATTAGGCTTCACTGCATCGCGAAAGCACTGCGGTAAAGCCAGCGTGAGCAGAAGAGCATTACATGATACGAAATGAATGCATATACAGGCCAATTGTGCATCAAACAAATATAAGCATTTGCGACTGCTCAGGCCGAATATGCATCTTGGCACGTCCGTTTCAGGAAGACAAAAAGACAATTACCAAAAGATGATTAGGCTTCACTGCATAGCGAAAGCACTGCAGTAAAGCCAGCGTGAGCAGAAGAGCATTACATGATACGAAATGAACGCATGCACGGGCCACTTGTGCATCAAACAATATAAGCATTTGCAACTGCTCATGCCAAATATACAACTTGGCACGTCCGTTTCAGGGAGACAAAAGGATGATGAGGCTTCACTGCATCGCGAAAGCACTGCGGTAAAGCCAGCGTGAGCAGAAGAGCATTACATGATACGAAATGAAAGCATGCACGGGCCACTTGTGTATCAAACAAATATAAGCATTTGTGACTGCTCAGGCCAAATATGCATCTTGGCACGTCCGTTTCAGGAAGACAAAAAGACAATTACCAAAAGATGATTAGGCTTCACTTCATCGTGAAAGCAGTGCGGTAAAGTCAGCTTGAGCAGAAGAGCATTACATGATACGAACATGATAGGAAATGAACGCATGCACAGGCCACTTGTGCATCAAACAAATATAAGCATGTGCAACTGCTCATGCCAAATATACATCTTGGCACGTCCGTTTCAGGGAGACAAAAGGATGATTAGGCTTCACTGCATCGCGAAAGCACTGCGGTAAAGCCAGCGTTAGCAGAAGAGCATTACATGATAGGAACATGTTAGGAAATGAACGCATGAACAAGCCACTTGTGCATCAAACAAATATAAGCATTTGACACTGCTCATGTCAAATGTACATCTTGGCACGTCCGTTTCAGGGAGGTAAAAGGATGATTAAGCTTCACTGCATCGCGAAAGCAGTGCGGTAAAGCCAGCGTGAGCAGAAGAGCTTTACATGATACGAAATGAATGCATAAACAAGCCTTTTGTGCATCAAACAAATATAAGCATTTGTGACTAATCATGCCAAATATACATCTTGGCACGTCCGTTTCAGGGAGACAAAAGGACGATTAAGCTTCACTGCATCGCGAAAGCACTGCGATAAAGCCAGCGTTAGCAGAAGATTGATTGATTGATTTGTGGGGTTTAACGTCCCAAAACCACCATATGAATATGAGAGACGCCGTAGTGGAGGGCTCCGGAAATTTCGACCACCTGGGGTTCTTAAACGTGCGCCCGAATCTGAGCACACGGGCCTACAACATTTCCGCCTCCATCGGAAATGCAGCCGCCGCAGCCGGTAATCGAACCCGCGACCTGCGGGTCAGCAGCCGAGTACCTTAGCCACTAGACCACCGCGGCGGGGCGTTAGCAGAAGAGGATTACATGATACGAAATGAATGCATATACAGGCCACTTGTGCATCAAACAAATATAAGCATTTGCGACTGCTCAGGCCGAATATGCATCTTGGCACGTCCGTTTCAGGGAGACAAAAGGATGATTAGGCTTCACTGCATCGCGAAAGCACTGCGGTAAAGCCAGCGTGAGCAGAAGAGCATTACATGATACGAAATGAAAGCATGCACGGGCCACTTGTGTATCAAACGAATATAAGCATTTGTGACTGCTCAGGCCAAATATGCATCTTGGCACGTCCGTTTCAGGAAGACAAAAAGACAATTACCAAAAGATGATTAGGCTTCACTTCATCGTGAAAGCAGTGCGGTAAAGTCAGCGTGAGCAGAAGAGCATTACATGATACGAACGTGATAGGAAATGAACGCATGCACAGGCCACTTGTGCATCAAACAAATATAAGCATGTGCAACTGCTCATGCCAAATATACATCTTGGCACGTCCTTTTAAGGGAGACAAAAGGATGATTAAGCTTCACTGCATCGCGAAAGCACTGCGGTAAAGCCAGCGTTAGCAGAAGAGCATTACATGATAGGAACATGTTAGGAAATGAACGCATGAACAAGCCACTTGTGCATCAAACAAATATAAGCATTTGACACTGCTCATGTCAAATGTACATCTTGGCACGTCCGTTTCAGGGAGGTAAAAGGATGATTAAGCTTCACTGCATCGCGAAAGCAGTGCGGTAAAGCCAGCGTGAGCAGAAGAGCTTTACATGATACGAAATGAATGCATAAACAAGCCTTTTGTGCATCAAACAAATATAAGCATTTGTGACTAATCATGCCAAATATACATCTTGGCACGTCCGTTTCAGGGAGACAAAAGGACGATTAAGCTTCACTGCATCGCGAAAGCACTGCGATAAAGCCAGCGTTAGCAGAAGATTGATTGATTGATTTGTGGGGTTTAACGTCCCAAAACCACCATATGATTATGAGAGACGCCGTAGTGGAGGGCTCCGGAAATTTCGACCACCTGGGGTTCTTTAACGTGCGCCCAAATCTGAGCACACGGGCCTACAACATTTCCGCCTCCATC